ATCTGAATTTTTGAGAAATCGCTTTGTTTTGTTGTCGAATGATAGGTCGTTAAAATTCTGCACTAGATAAATCGTGAATGGGGTTTATGTGTCACTGTCTTGTATTGAAATTGCTAGTATTGCTGTGTTGACTTCGAATAGTCTAGATTTTGTAGTTACATCTGCTGAAATTGAGTCTTCTAAAGATGTAATAGAGAAAGCAAGATCAATGTGAAACGTGGAAGAATCTAAGACTAACGCATATTGAGCATCAGATATATTGAAAAAAAGTGTTTTTTAGCAAATGAAATTATAGTTTAGTTCTATCTAGAATGATTCCTGAGTAGATCTAGTGTATCTTCAGCTTCTAATAGTAATTGATCGAATTTCTTTTGATAGTCAGCGTTTTTGTTTAGAATTTTATCAACTGCAATAGGCACTTTTCTGCCAACTCTTCGTTGAGGAAATTCTTTGGTTTTTTGTGTCAATTCCGTTATCTGTTATAAGATTGATTCCCAGACCCAATTTATCTATTTCATGTGCAATCAATAGTTGATCACCAAAGAATGGAATAGCTACCATTAGCACCTGTGCAATAACTGCTTCATGAAAACTATTGCTCCCGACGTGGGTAATAAACACAGAGGCTAGTGATAGGACATTGATTTAAGCAGCATATGGAACTACTTCCAATTTGAAGGGTATTTGATTGATAATTTCTTTTCCAAGATTAACAAATAGAATGTCCATATTTTTGTGTTCCCATAATTTAGTTAGTGTATAAATAAATATGTTTAATTGTTCTCGAACCTCAACTTGTTGATTCCAGAGATTACCCATCACAGCAGTACCGAGTGAAAAATAAATGAATGGCTTTTTTGAATTCTTGGAATTATTATTGGATAGTGCTGTATGTAAATGACGCATGAAAATATACGGTGATTCTTTACGATTAAGCATAAAGTTTGTTTGGAGTGACTGATGGATATGACCAAACAAGATTTTGTTATCCTATAATATGTAGTCCATCAAAAATCATTTCAATATCTTCTGCATTTAAAATTTCTGGAAATCTTTCTTGTAAAAAACTCATAGCTTTAATATTGATTGGTAATTGCAATTTTTTCTTAAAATATTCTTGGTGTGTAAATGAACCAATTGAAGCAGGGATAGAAGAATAATATGGAATTTTCAAGATTTTTCCTACAAAATTTCTTTCTAATTTAAAAAAAATGATTAGATTTGATTTAAATGTTTTTGCTATATCTAAACAACCATCTATTAATTCAACAAGTCGTAGTAATGTCCAAATTGCAGGACCAGTTTCATTCAAATTAGAGCAGGCGACAATACTAGATGTAATATTAATTCCTTTTAAATCTAGTTGAATATTTTTGCAGGCACTAATAATAAGATGAAAATCAAAATGACTCTCATATTTCAGAATTAAGTCTCCTAGTACATTCAAGTGTCCATTGAATGGAGGGCTGAATAATAAAATTTGATCTTCTTTTTTGCAGTAGTATTGCAATTAGTATAAAGAGTTTTGAGAATTTCGATGCTAATGATAAAGAAAATTATTTAACAGCGGCGTATTTATCCGAACTAGAAGTAATTGACAATCCGAATCGCAATGTCAATATAAGGATTGAATATAGATAATCTAAAACAATAAGTTATGCATAG